TCCCAAAGTCTGTTACTAGTGTTCTCTCTTCCTTGACATTACAATTTTATTCCACCAATGTTGAGAGGTCACACTTGAAGAAGCAGAAAGGAATTTGGTTTCAGAAAAGTTGCAGGTTTGGGAGTAACAGCCACAGGTGGGAAACTTGAACTTACGCGTTTGTAAAAAGCCTGGTCTGGATGGGCACGAGAAAGCTGAATTATGGGAATGGATATAACTTCAGAGAGGAAGGGACACCAGGGACCATCCAGTCCAACCTGAACCAGAAAAAAAAAATCCCCAATGAAACATGCCCAGCAAGTAGGCTTTTGCTTGAAAACCGCTAATGAAAAGTAGTCCCTTCCATTTTTGGATAGCCTTATTTCTTAGGAAGTTTCATTTGCTAGGTTGCTTTCTTCCACTTTCTCTACTCAGAAAAGATGTGTGGGTGGGTTTTATTTTTCCTATAACAACAAAATAGATAACACTTTTTTGTTTTTCTGAGTGGCTATTGTTGGACCCCTACACAGAATAATGTTTTTAAATGCATAAAATAGCACTTAGCATAGTGCCTGGCAAATAGCAAGGCATGGTAATTGCTAATTGACTGACTAGTTAAAATAAAATACGTAGGATTACAAAAGAAAACCAATTCTGTTAAAACACAATTATCAAAATATTTTTTTAAAACAAATTCTGGGAGTTGGACAGTCTCTATTTCCCCTTCTGGCTCTAATTCTCAAGCAGTCTCTATTGAGTGTGCTAGAGAAAGCATTTATCTAGGGAGGTAAATCAGTTAACAAAGGAACTGTACATCCAACCTATGATTCTGTCTTCTAGGCTCACCTTTTTCTTAACCTAGAACTCTACAGTGGTGTTAGCCTGGCATATCTTGCAAGAGTCATTTATCTTGGTGAATTCAATGGTGTGTGAGACTGACTACCTGCTACAGCTGAACTGTAAAGTCTCTAAAGTAACATAGAATTATTTGTAAGTTTTTTTCTCCATCTGCCTGTTAGTGTGTGAATGATGTGTCGGTCTAGACAGCTGGGTTATCTAATGAATGGAAACTCAATTTACAAGTAAGGATTGAATATCTTAGAGCTGTACTTAGATCTATCAAACCAGAAGTTTGGTGTGGGCAGAGGGAAATTAAAATCACTCACTGTGAAGAAAAGGAAACAGAGTTTCTAGTATTCTGAGGGCTTTTTTTTCCTTTTTATAAAAAGAGCTTTGAAAATAAATCCATGTGCTGGAACCCGTGTGTAGAAGAAGCTTGAGTACTTAAATTTTTATATAAAGCATAGGGTCAGAGGACCATCCATGCCTGAAATAGATCTAGTTTCCATTTGTGAATCTGATAATAACTTGTAGTAACTTGGTGCTGTTGTGACATATTAGCTACTTAACCAAAGACCAATTTTATTCTATGTATATAAGTCAACAAGCATTTCTTGAACACCTGCTATATACTCAAAACAATACTAAGTATGGTGGGGATAAAGGGGCAAATTTGACGTAATCACTGCCCTCAAGCAGCTTGTAGTCTAGTTGAGGAGAGAAGATGAACGTACTTGGTAAAGTGGAATGTCTAGTGGTTCTGAGGAAATGGATTTGAATCTCAGCTCTGCAGATTACTGTCTTTGTGACCTTGGACAAGTTTACTTTTTGCAGACTCAGTTTCCTTATCTACCAAACAAGGGAGTTAGAGTAGATGGCCTCTCAGTTCCTGTCCAGCTCTCCATTTATGATCGAATGGAAATGCAGCAAGACCTACATGACTTATCAACCAAAATGAGAAACTATATAATTAAATTCTAAACTGTTTAATAATAGACTATTAGTGCCATCTCTAAGTTCTAAGTGCTTTTAATAAGTACTACCTTTGAGTTTCATGAGAGAAAGAACCAAATCTTGTCTAGATTGCTTTTTTCCCACAGTGCCTAGCATGACATACTGTGTACCCAGTCAGGGCTTATTAAATGCTTGTTGGATTGGCTTGAATTGAATTAAAATTATGGATGCCAGTTGTCAATGAAAGAGTTATCAGAGAAGACTTTATCACCTTTGTAGATTGAATTAATATCAGTCAATCAGTAAACATATATTAAACACCTATCATGTGCCAGGCACTGTGCTCAGTGCTGGATTGAAGTGGCTGGAAGGACTGGTAGAATTTGGAAAGGTAGAAAAAAGGGAACAATTTTGAGAGGAACGATTATGCAAAGGCAAGATTGTGGGAATGAATGTGGCATGTTTGATAAAGGGTGATCAGCCCAATTACCTAGTATCTATTTTATATAGATATGTGGGTATATGAATATTATTTTCTCCCCCAGCTAGATTTTAAGCTTCCTAAGGATAGGAATTGTTTCACGGCTGCCTTTGTCTCTCCAGCACCTCCCACAGTGCCTGGTCCATAGTAGGCACTAGTAAGTGCTTCTCAATTGACTGCTTTTGTGGAGGACAGAGCTTTTGGTGGGTAATAAGATTGTTTGCATAACTGGAACATAGAATATACCTCAAGGTCTGTGGCAAGGTTCAGAAAACTGTGGAAATTCACATTGAAGATTGCAAAAACCTTGGAAAAGAGAAAAGTAAAGAATGGATGTTATCCAAACCACGCTGGGAGAAAAGTTCCTTCAGACTTTTGGCTCTGTGCAGTTACTCAAAGCTCAGGAGTCTGGGTACAGGAAGACCAGAGCCCACAATTTCACTACTTGGAGTCTGGGCGATACAGCAGATTAAACAAGCTGGGTTCACATACTTTTCAATGAATTGGCATAGAGGAATAGTGGAGAGTGTAGGATCAAGTTTAAAATGTGTTCGCCTTTCCTAGCAGCAGTTGTAACTTGATAGAATAAAGTCGTACTGTTTCCAAGGGTAGGACCTGCCTGTCTGTCTAGGATGGTTTCCAGCCAGTGACTCTTGGAAGAGAAAATTCTGTTTCAAGAGAAAAATCTAGTGAAAAACAATGTTGTGGGGAAATCATTTTTTTAAAGTCTGTTGGGTATGAGCATTCAATTTAATTTTTTAATGGTGCTGTAGTGATTAGATCATAAATCTAGAAATGGGAGGCATATTAGAAGTCATCCAGGTCAAGCCCCTAATTTTACAGATAAACTCACTCTTTCCTCATCAGACTGTAAGAATTGTTTAGGTGTCGACAGTGCTTTAATTCTAGGGCTGATCAAATATCAACTTATTACAGTCATTTTTAAGAGACGCCACTACCCTAATTCCATGTGGGTTTTTATTCTGACTCTGGCTGGATCAAAAGTTGGGTTTTTAGAATGAAACCTTTTTATTAAGTAAGCTGTGAGTCAGTAAAATAATTGCTCCAGTAAATGCTAATTGACCCACAAGCTAAAATAAAATACATAGGATTACAAAAGAAAACCAATTATATTAAAATCCAATTATCAAAATATTTTTAAAACCAAGTTCCTGGACTTTGGTTAAAACACTATATTAGACATTCTCTGTGCTCCCTTCTAAGTCTTCAGTGTCCTTGGTAAAAAGAACTTTAAGCAGGGGCTGAAGAATCTCTTGTTGGGGACATCACATGCAGGTTTTCCTGTTTGACCATAGATTAGCCTATAGTTGGTAGTCCAAGGGCTCTCACATCCCTTCTCATTTTGAAATGCTATAATTCTACTTTTCTCAACAATAAACATGTTACTTGCTATTACTGAATATCAGTCATTTTTTTTTTTAAAGAAACCAGTTCATGTTTTTCTTCGTGTACTGATCACTAGTTTCAGGGTCAAAGAGACCAGGGGCCATAGTCACCAGAGGAATATTTCCATTATCAAATGATTCATGTAGACACACTGTTTAGATCACTCATCATGTCAGGTGCCATAAACAAGATTGTGCATGACTCCAGAGTAGTAGGCTGCCTATATAAATGGTGGTGGTGGTTGTTCATTTGTTGACTGATAACTGCTTTCTTTCCTGTTTTACTGGATAGTCTTATAGTCAGGTTATGCTGCATCCAGCTCAACCTTGCTCATGCCAGTTGTTAGATTTTCATTATGAGCATTTATATCTCGAAAATCATCACATGCTACAAATCAAGGCTTGATTCATTGTTTTGTTGATGGTCTAGACTTAAGAAAGTGGTGGAAAAAATGTTAATGCAGATTAAACTTTTAAAAGTGTATCTAGCATGTGTACTTTGTGACCTTTCCCCAAGCTGGTTGTTAAACATTTATCAGCACACTCCTGGTTCTTGCCTCATAGTACATTAACGTTTCTCCTCAGTAAACTCAGAGGGGATGTTGCTATAAGCTTTGTAACAGTCTTTGTGAGGGGAAGAGAAGTAAGCCCTGGGTTGGTTTCTAATTATTTTAATCTCAAGGAAGCAGGAACAGAAACAGAAACAGATTCATTTATACCCCAACTCAAAAAGCAAAATAAAACAGTAAGAAGAGTAACAGAGATGGCATATTATTTATATTTCGTTATCTTACCCTGCACTTAGCACAGTGCTTGGCACCCAGTAGGTATTTAATAAATATTTGTTTAATCATACTGAATGAAATTGTAGGCACTGGAGTCCCTGACCTGTCACAGTTTAGATGTGTATTATCTATAAAGGAATAGGGACTAGAGCTAAGATTTTATTGCTCTAAGGAATTCCTGGATAAGGAATGTCTACTTTATCAGTGCAAGGCAGCCTTTTCTCTGCAGTTTAGTCACAGAGAACTGTCTAAGGAGGGCATTGAGAAAGAGTAAATGACTTGCCTAAGGTCACACAGTCAGTGTGTCAGAGGGGAGACTTGAAACCTAGTCTTCCTGGCTCCAAGGCAGGCTCCTCAGCCCCTACTCCACCCTGCCTCTCATTGGCTATTTAAGAGAGTATTAAACCATTCCTAGACACAGAACTTGAAGAATGGGGGTAAGGGGGAGTGAGGTTGAGGGGAGGTGAATAACTAGAGAGAACAGAATAATATCATAAATAAAATAAGCTTCTTAACAGTTTACCCTCTTACATTTCACTCTCAATTCTTTCTTAGAGAGCAGAGCTGACTTCTGATAAAGACATGTACCTTGACAACAGCTCTATTGAAGAAGCATCGGGAGTTTATCCTATTGATGATGATGATTACGCATCTGCGTCGGGCTCAGGTAAGAGTGGAAAACCACTTTTATTCCTTCACACGCACACCCCCCCAGCCTCCTCCCACATGAAGACCTTGCCTTATTGTGCCACATTAATACATAATTAGCTGATTCTTAGATGCTGTGATACTAATGAGATTCCAGAATTCTTTCAGGAGTCTGTCGAATATTGATTCATTTATTCCTTTGTTTCATAGTTAGGGTGGGAGTAAATCTGAATGTATATATGTGTATGTATATATCTATATCTATATTTATACATATGCACGGACACACACACACACACACACACACATATATATATATATACACACATATACACATACTTTCAAGCTAATTTGGGAGTGGGGTACCTAATAAAATGATAGTGAAAAGTCTTCAAGCAATTTTTATAACAACAATAATAATTTAGTATATTGTTATCTCTGTCTCAACTGTGTTTTCTCTGTATGTTTTTGCTTTGTCCATTGGTATTTCTAAGATAATACCCTGCTTCTGTTTTAAGCATTTTGGGGAAACAGTTCTCATGAAATAGTTCAAAGAATTTATTTATATAGAGAGTATATTTGAGTTTCAATGGGACTTTCAATTAAGACATTGAGAGTAATGTCACCTAAAACATTGGTAAAGAAATTAAATGAGCACCCACTTGGCAAAACTCCATACCACAGATTAGAAATTAAAGGATAAATCAGAAACTGTTTGGCCTCACTTACTCCCTCTGGATTGCTCTAAGGGAGGAAAGGAAAACATACAGTTGCATTGAAAAACATTTGTGATAAACACTCTCTAGACCAATGGTCAATCATTTCACTTGTTCCAGGAACAATCCCAGTGGAAGCTGTGGCTAAGGCAGGGTTTGAGCACAGGGGTAATTAATGGTCAAGTCAGGAAACATTGTTCAGCAGGGTACCATGAAAATCTTTATTGGGATTTTTATTGATTAGAATTTTCATTTGTAATCCCAAAGGTCCTGACAGCTGCACTGGGCTTAGATTTATGTATGCCATCTGATTAGCAGACTGGCCCCAAATTCAGAACGACCCAGAAAGATTCAAATTGATCCTTTGCTTAAAGGAAGTCAAGCTATAGTATAAGATGTAGTGTTTTAAATGGAGAAACAGCAAGTCTGGGAAAGAGATGGAAGAGCTTGCTGACCTAGTAAGTATGAACTTACAGTGCAATCCTAGTGTAAAAATAGCCATTGCTATTCTTAGGGGAGTGATATATATCTCACATGCAGAACAAGTGGGGTAAGTGTTGCCCAGCAGAGCCCCAGTGTCACTCACTAAAACACTATTAATACTTTACACCCATAACACACACTTTTTCCTTAGTGCTTCAGATATACTTTGTACTTAAATAATGTTTAAAATGCCCCAGCACATAATTAATTGGGAAAATCTTGTCTCTGTACTGCAGATCTTAGAATTCAAGGTTTAGAAGGGCTCTCTGGAGATCACACAAGTCATTTTGCTGTCTCCAAACATAAGAATGCCCAAATTATTCGAAGAGATAGATGTTTCTTCTGTTTATCTTTTTTTTTCTTTCTCTCTCTGACTAGATTTAAGGAAAGGAGACTATGTATCTCTTCTTCATTAAAATTCCCTTTTCAAAGATGTGGATGGAGCAGATCAGACCTAGAAATCACAGGATATAACCAGGGTAGATCTGTGGTTAAAACATGAGGCCATTACCTCTTGGTTCCTGGCTCTAGCATTGCTTTGATTAGAGCTATAGAAAAAAGTGCAAAAAAGCAGCATCCATCATTACTGCCTTTCTTTGCTTTGAGAATGATGTTCTTCAAAATAGCAGTTACTGACTCTTGGCTTAAGACAGTAGTTCTCAAAGTTTTCTAACCAGTGTCCCTTGCATCCTCATACAGAGGTGCTGGACAACTAGAGAAAGGCAAATGTCCCAATTTTCACAGAAGGGAAGACAGTACACTCTGCAATCTGTAGACCAGGAGGCTTAACTTCAATTACTGGCAAAATTCTAGAACATATTATTATTCAAGGGATGACTTGTGGACACCTAGAAAAGGAGCTAGTGACCGTTCTGCTATTAATGGCTTCATCAAGAATAGGTCATACTATTCTAACCTCATTTCCTTTTTTGATGGGGTGAATAGGTACTTAGGTAGATTAGGGGAAAGCTGTAGACATAGTTTACTTAGATTTATTTAAACATTTGACAAAAGTTCCTCATGCTTTCTTTGAGGGGAAAGTTTACAGCTTGGTGGAACAACTGGACCCAAAGAGTTGTCATTAATGGGTTGATGTTGTCTTGGGAGGGCAATCTCTAGAACAGTGCCTCGAGGATTTGTTCTTGGCCTTGTTGTGCTCAATGTTTTTTATCAGTGTCTTAGATGAAGACATAGATGGCATCCTTATCAAATCTGCAGCTGATGCAAAGCTAGAAGCAGTAGTTAATATAATATATGCCAGAACCAAGATGCACAAATACATATACAGGCTAGAATGATATGCTACTTGAAGTCAAGGATTCTTTTCATTTTTGTCTTTACCTCTGCAGTGCTTTGCACATAATGAACATTTGACACACATTTATTGAATTAAATTGAATTAAAGAAGATGAAATTTAATAGAGATAAATGTTGAGTTCTATATTTAGGTTCAAAAAATCAACTTCACCAATACAAAAGGAGGGAGGTATAGCTAGGAAGCAGTTCATCTGAAAAAAAGATTTGGGATTTTAATTGACTTGCAAACTCTAAGTGAGTTAACATTGCAACATAGCAGCCAATAAAACTAATGAACCCAGTAAATCCTGAGACAGCCCATTCTATTTTTAGATCATTCTAATTACCAGGAAGTTTTTCCTTATTTTGAGAGGATTTCCACTCACTGTTTTCATTTTGTTATCTGAGGCCAAACAGAGAATGTCTACTTCCATCAGTGAGTTCCTCCTTCCTTGGCATCTTTAAGTGAAGGCTAGATGACCACTTGTTGAGCATGTTGTAAAAGGGGTACTTGGTTGGACTAAATGAACTCTGAGTCCTCTTCCATGTCTGCCATTTCATGATACTGGAAGTCCATGAATGGGTAAACTTAAAGGAAAATGCTATTTATCTTATCCCTTCTGGACTTAAGAGAATAGTGATTAGATTCTATGAATACCTTTCAGCTTATCAGTGATCTTGGTTTGTGAAATGTTATCTTTAGGTAATCTTCTCCCTTAAAGAAATTCACAAATTTCAGGGTCTTCTTATCATTGTAGATTTTAATTTTTTCCCTTTGAATTCACTTTTTCTTTTTTCCTGTTTGATATCAGATGTCTAGATGGACTTTATATCTGGGGTTCTTTGTTTTTTATTTTTATTGATTGTTTTTGTTACTGCATCACGTTAACTTTTGAAATATCCCTTCCTTCTTCCCTAAGCCTCAAACCATCCCTTTTAACAGAGATTAAAGAAGAAGGGGGGGGGGGGTCATTTCAACAAAACCAGCCAGTACATTGACCATGTCAGACAGTAAGTGCAGTATTTGACACCTTTGTTTCTTCCCCTCTCCCCCAAGCTTTACAAGGAAGGGAAAGAGGTTTATTTTCACAAGTCTACTTTCAGGCCAAACTTGAACATTATAATTATGCAGTATTCATTTTCTTTTCTTGTTCTTTCCAGTTACATTGTTTTAGTCATTGTATGTATTGTTTTCCTGGCTCTACTTACTTCTTCATCATTTCTTATGTATCTTTCTATGCTTCTTAGAATTCTTCATATTAGTCATATATTATGGCATAATACTATTCTACTGTATTCACATATTTCAATTTGTTTAGCCTTTCTCCAACCAATAGGCATGTACATTGTTTCCAAATCTTTGCTAGCACTAAAAGGAGTGTTATAGAAATTTTGTTGTGTGTGGATACTTTCTGTCTGTAGCTTCCATGGTGTATATTCCTATAAGTGGGCATCTTTTGGTCCAAGTTTCTGGATGTTTGTAGTCGCTTTTATTTTTTTTTAATAATTCCAAAGTACTTTCCAGGATGGTTAGACAAATGTTTAGTTCCATTACCAATGTATTAATGTTCCTGTCTTTTGTAATCCCCCCTCCGCTGCTGACCATTTCCACTTTTTGTCATTTTTCCAATTTACTGGTTATGAGTTGAAACCTCAGAGTTTTGATTTGCTTTTCTATTATTAATTTGGAACAGTTTTTCCTATAGTTATTGATAGTTTGTTACTCTTTTGAGAACCATTTCTTTATATCATTTGTCCACTTATCCATAGGAGAATGGCTGTTAGTCATATATATTTGTGTTAATTATATATATATATATGGGTTATCAGATTCAAGTATCAGAGATATTTAATGCAAAAAAAATTCCCAGTTGACAATTTGCCTACTTATTCTAGATGCATAGATTTTGTTCATTCAAAAGCTTTTCAGTTTCATGTAATCAAAGTTACTGGTTTTATTTTTTGTGATTGCCTCTACCCTTCATTGGCTAAAAATCCTCCCTGTACACATGATTTTGAAGGGTACTTGATCTCGCTCTCTTCTAATGGTCTAATAGTGTGACCTTTTATAGTCAGCTCACCTATCCATATTAATATTATTGTAATAGAAGGTATAAGATTAGGATATGAACCTAATTTCAGCCAAACTATTTTCCAGTTTTCCAGCACTTCTTATCTTTCCCAAGTAGTTTGTTTTCCAATTAATCAAACACTCAATTATTGAATTTGATTGTTTCAAACTCTGGGTTATCTAGTCTGTTCTGCCGATCTACTTTTCTACTCTTTAATTAATGTCAACTAGTTTTGATAGTTGCTGTTTTATGACATAATTTGAGGTCTAGAATTACTATTCCCCCTTCACTCCTCCTTTTAAGTTATTATTTTCCTTAAAGTCCTAGACCTTTTGTTTCTCCAAATGAATTTTGGTAATAATGTGTCCAGCTCTGTAAAGTACTTCTAGGTAATTGATTGGTATAACACTAAGCTGGTAAACTAATTTAGACAGGATTGCTATTTTTGTTATATTGAAGTAACCTGACTATAAGCATTGAATATCTCTGTAGTCCCATTATAAAGCAAGCTTTTGGAAAAGAATTTTGATTTGTTATTACCTAATGGATATAAATATTCTTAGCCCTTAGTCTAACCTGTTAACTTTTTTCATCGTCATTTCTTATTCAAATGCAAGTAATTCTTTAAAGATTAAGTCATTCACTTTGTGAACAAGTCAAACATATTGTACACAAATTGTTGATGGATTAACAGGCCAGTTGCCAGAAAGGTATTCTTGAGATTATTATGCTAAGTATAACAAGTGGATACTTTGGTATGTAGATGCATCTGTGTTGGTGGTGTTGACATTCTCCTCACGAATGTACATTGCAATACTTCCATGCTTTTCTTGTGCCTGTCCTATCCAGGTCTTCCCATAAATCTTCCACAGACAGTCTCTTCAAGGTGCCTTCTCCTTCTTCTTCTAATATCATTGTAGCACTTAGGCTAGATACATATTATCCCTCAGTCTCACGGCATGAATAGCCCACTATGTTTCCAGTCATTCACAGTTTTCATGATGTCTTATGAATCACTTTTTTCAGTTTCTTTTTATGTCCCTTCTCACATTCAAGTCACCATAGTGAATCTGCTTAGCCCACTAACATATTTTTCCATTGCCCTTTACAAGTCTTCCTAATGTCCTTTGAGTCTTTGTAGGTGACCCAGTGAAGAATTTAGATGTTCAAAAGTAAAATGGGCAAAGGGAAATTTGAAACCATGAGCTAAATCTATAGGAAATTAATTTTATTGTAAATCATAATTTTCCAGTAACTGTTCTTCATTGAAAAATTTAGGTAGAAGATTAAGATAGAAAAATGAGACACCTTTATAAATTAAATAGTAATATTGAGTGCATTCTTAATTTACCCGAATCCTAGAAGAATAATCTAATCATACCATACATGATGGATAGACTATGAGATGATGTTAAAGTGGGCAAGAGGAAGAAATAAAATCCAATTTATGACCAGAGGATCAAGTAAAAGCAAAAGCAATAATAATCTTCCTACCATAGATCAAGCCATTCAATCAGTGAGTATTTATTTAGCACCTAGTATGTTTCTGACATATTGAGGCAATGCAAAGTTTTTTTCTAACGTAATTGGGGAGGTAAAACATGGTTATATAAAAAATATGTTTTATACATGGAAGCATATCATAAAGTGCCAAAGGAGTGATCCAGAAATAATTACTATAGGATTTCAGAGGATGGAAGAGATTTCTAGGGGTTTGACTAATCAGGGGAAATTTAATGGAGAAGGTGACCTATGAGAAATAGGGTAGGATTCAGATTAGTCAATAGGAGATGAGAAAACATTCTAGGAAGAATGAATGGTATGGACAGAGATGTCAGTGAATCAACAAGCATTAATTAGGTGCTTATTATGCCAAGCATATAGTAATTAATTAATTGATACTGGGAGTACAAGTATAAGCAAAAAGAAAGACAGATCTTGCCTTCAAGGAGTTTATGTTCTAATGAGGGAAGACATAAAATGAAACTAAAAAGGGACGAGGTGGGTGAATAAGGGAAGGTGCCTGACATGATGCGGAAGTCTGCATTGCAGCCTGGTGAGAAATGAAGAGGTGGCTGTCCTGGGTACCTTACTTGAGTGGAGATTCTGGGGAGGGCCAGCCAATCAGAGAGAGGGGCTTCAGTGACATGGGATACCTCCAAATCATGAATTTCAGGGTTGACATGACCTTTTGGGTTGAAGAGGTTTCTGGAGCATGATGGAGATGCAGAGCCAGGAATTTGCAGGGTACCTTACGGGACATCTCTTCCCCCACCCCTCTCCTTTGCTTTTAGTACATCAGCCTGATTCCTGTAGTTTTCATGTACTGAGAGACAGTCAGAAAGATTGGTTGGAAAAGATCGAGGAAATTGGTTGGAAAAGATCAAGGGATGTCTAAGTTTCCTCATCTATAAAATAAGGAAGTTGGACTAGTAAAAATCTCTAAGATTCTTTCTAAGTCTTAACATCTTTATGATTATTCTGTGGTGTTTCCCACTAGGGCAGTGGAAAATGATGAAAGAGATGAGTGACTTGATCAAAGTTGTATGGTAGAGAGAATTAGTAGAGATCAGAAAGGCAGGAGATCAGAGGCAGAAAGAATAATTAGGAGACTTGCAATCAGTAATCCAGAATGAGGGGGTAAGGCCCTCAACTAGGGTAGTAGAAACAAAAAAGCAAGGGATAGACACAAAAAGATATCCAGGAACATCTGTCTTGGTATTTCTGAAGTGCTTATTTTATTAATCCAATATAGGTTCACAACATTGCTATTTTCTTTGGCTACCCATTCAAGGTAATTAAAAGGATTCTGAAGATGCTGATTGACTTTTCATAAACATCTAGCAATTAATTAAACATTAAAAAGAACATTGTGGTTGAATCTCATAAACCTTTAAGAATTATACAAGTCCACTTACTAGCAATGTGACCCTGGGCAAGTCACTTAACCCCAATTGCATCACCCCCATCCCCCCCAAAAAAGATATAAGTTAGAAGGTAGCACCAAAATGGAAGGACGGTGGTCTCTAGGTAAGAAGACTAGAAAATGGAAGTAATTGCCATTATTCTTCAGAGCATCAGATTCCCACCTTTGCATCACCTTTTCATCCCAATGTGATAAGATTAAGAGGCAATGCAAAATATTAGATGGAGAGCTGGCCTTAAGAGCCAGGAAGATCTGGGTTCAAGTTTTACCTCTGACACATACTGGCAGTGTGGCTAGGCAAACCGCTTAACCTCTCTGTGCTTTAGGCAACTCTCTAAAACTATAATAAGCTTTAGAGAAGCTGCCAATCTGCATTGGTAGCGGGAAATTTCTCATCTGAGAGTTCCCTATACCAATAAAATCCAATTCTTATCCTCTTTCATTCCCAAAGGAAAATTGGAGCCAGATAAATGAAAGTTGAATATTTTATAAGAACAGCGCTGTTCTCAGGGTCAGATAATGTTCTAGCTATGTTTCCTATTTCTCATATTGATTTTTATTTGTTGTTTCAGGAGCTGAGGAGGAAGGAGAAAGTCCACAGATGCCAACATCCCGAACAATTCCAAAGATACCATTCACTAGTGATGTTCCAAAAGTTGAGATGACTACAGTGAAAATTCAGACTAAGATTCCTGCTCAGACAAAGGTGTGCTCTCGTGATCATCCTAATGTGTCTTCATAGTTTGGGTTTTTTAAAAACATTAAGGATAGACCATTTTAAGAGACCCTTTGTAAAATCACATCTCTACATAATTTCTTAAAGGTGTATTACTAATTGTACTGTGCCTACCTTCATGACAGTCTCTGACTTTTTAACCTGTCTGATTGCCCATACATGTGTGTCTCTGGCCTGCCCCTGTTTCTCCTTTGAGGAAATAATCCGGGTCCTCTAGGGGTTTATAAGCAAAAATGTGCACAGCACAGATGAGAAGAACAAAGCAAAGTCTTTTCAGTTCATTTAGAGTTTAAACCCCAAAGCCAAGAAATTCATTTTTCAGCTTTCATTTCACCAAGTACATTTATATGCAAACATGTACAAGTTCATTTTTCAGGTAATGAGACAGTTGTAGAATAGTTGCTGATTTTCATAGGCATAGGAAATTTCTTACTCACTTGTTCCCTATACCAGTGGTATCAAACCCAGATAGGAAGGTTGGGGTTAAGGATCCCTTCAGGCTGTATTTTTATTGTAAATATTTTCTAGTTATATTTTAATCTGGTTTGGGCCACAGTATTGGGAGCCTTGTGTTTTTAAAGTTGATTTTCCAGTGGTAATAATCTCTGAATCTACGATCGATATTTTCCCTTCCTGTCCCCTTGTGTTTTCAAGAGCTGGATGCTATGGGGGGTGATGGGTGACTCTCCAGAAAAGCCACCGTGCCAAAGTACACCAGTCTAATTATAAGGGAAAGTACAGAGCTGAAATTGGAGTCAGGGAGACCTGGGTTCAAACACCTCTTAGCTGTGTGATCCCGGGCAAGTCACTTACCATCCTAAGCTTGTCTCATGTAAAATAGGGATAATTAAAACCTGTAGTGCCTACCTCCTGGGGTTGTTGTGAGGTACACAGCACACTGCAACCTTTCCAACATTCTATCAAGTCATCTGTGGGTCTTATTATCTTATTCTATTATTTCCAATGGGATTCAGATAGGAGCGGTCCAAGGACAAGTTGTGGGATTTCAGCATCATAGATTTGGAGCGAGATGGGACCTTAGAGGCCATCCAATCCAGCCTCTTCATTTTACAGATGCCTAACCTGAAACATAGGCAGCTAGATGGTGTAATGGTTAGAGCACTGGGTTTAGAATCAGGAAGACCCGTCTTCCCGAGTTCAGATCTGGCCTCAGACTCTTACTAGCAGTCTTACCTTGGGCAAGTCACTCAACCCTGTTTGCCTTTGTTTCCTCATCTGTAAAATGAGCTGGAGGAGGAAATGGAAAACCACTCCAGTATCTTTGCCAAGAAAACTCTCCAGAAAGGGGTCATAAAGAGTCAGACTGAAACAACTAAGCAACAGCAGCAACAAATTGAAACATAGGTTACTGATAGTCAGTCTTTATATAATAAAGCTGTAAGGTTTGAAAAGTGATTTATACAATATATGTTATCTCTTTGTTCCTCACAACAACCCTGGGAGGTAGGTGTTACTATTATCCCCATCTTAAATATGAGGAAACTGAGACTGAGAGGGGATTAACTTACTTTCCCAGGATCACACAGTTAATGTGAAGCAGGATTTGTGTTCAGATCTCCTAACTCCAAGTCTAGTGTACTAGCCAACATTCCATCTAGGTTAAGTAACTTGTTCATAGTCCTACACAGATAGTAAGTGTCTGAGATGGGATATAGAGCCAGATCTTCGCGTCTCCCAAGTCCAGTCCTCCATAGGGGTGGGAAACCTGTGGCCTTCTAGGTCTTTGGTTACAGCTTTTTTGACTGAGTCCAAATTTTACAGAACAAATCCTTTTATTAAGGGGATGTGTTCTGTGAAGTTTGGATTCAGTCAAAGGGCCACACTTGAGGACATAGAGGGCCTCGAGGCCACAGGTTCCCTACCTCTATACTATACCATACTTCTTCTCACTAACCACTACCTTGTTTCTTTTATGTATAGAAAGTAGTTTACTACTACTGCTACTGCTATTACTACTACCACTACCACTACTACTGGCTGAATTGGATTTGGTGAAGGGGGAACAAGCTAGGAATGGAAAGCTTATAAGGGTGCGTGGCAAAGAGGGAAGGAGAGACAAGAAGGAGGGGGATGGGGGAAGGAGAAGGAAAGAAACAGAAAGACAAGCATAAAGAGAACCTACTTTCCCACTGTTATGATTAGGAAATTATCTTACCAATTTTCAACAATAGAGAGAATTAGGAAAACTACACTGTTAAAAGTAGGGATGAAAATTTCCTGAATGCTTCTGACTAATTTCACAAAGTGAGGGGAGTGGAATCCTCTCATTTATAACTTCTTGCTTAAGGCTTGCTTATGTATGAGTTGCTACTCTTTTTATTTAATTCCATTTGGGAGAATTCTTAGGAGTTTGCTATTGCCTCTCATGACTAGCACCCTTTGTGCATGAGTAGTAAATTGTAGACCTGAATGAAGTTGAACTCCAGAATTCAGTGTCATACAGGAGGTGGCAAGCCCTGTGGTTCTGGATGCCACTGGGATAGCAGTATGTATTGGTACCATTGAGTGATCTGAGGCAGAGAAAGGAAAGGAGGGCAAGAACTGTTTGTTAATTATTTTTGTCTTTCCCCTGTGTTACTAACATGGTCTCTTGTGAATACTCGATAAAGTTTATTGAATGGAGAAAAAGTGGAATGGAGGACTGGAAAAATGAAAAGGTGATGGAGCAGGACAGGAAGGAAGGAGAAGGGAGTGAGGGAAGGGAAGGAGGAAATGGGGAAAGAGGGTAGAGGGAGGAAAGGAGGAGAGAAAGAGAAAAGGGAAGAGGGAAGGAGAGAGATAAAAGGGGGAAGTGGAAGGAAAAGAGAAAGAAGTAAAAGTACAAATGATAAAGAATGAATTATGAAGCTCCCAGATTCTAGTCCAGGTGTCTGTGTTACGAATATCCAGAATTGCTGCTGCTAAGTTTTTGCCATTTCCTGCCTTTTAATTTTGCTTTAGTGAAGGACTTCAACATGTAGGTTTTAATAATTGAACCTAGGCAAAAACAGCCCTCTTGGTTGAGTTAGTCACATTATTAATAAAGATGTCAGATATATGACTGGGTATGTGGAGATGGGGAGGAATGTTTTGAACATAATATGGCCTGACTGACTAAAAAATCAGTTCTGGCCTCTTCTGGTGACTCTGCAAACTCTTTTTTGATATGGGATCAAGGCGCAAAGGATGCAAACAGATACCAGATCAAAAAGTTCAGAAGTTAAGGAAGCCTAAACACAGTTAATTCTTTCATAAGTTAGGATGCTGAATGTGCTGAAAGAGGTCCTACCATAAATCACATTAATTGAAAGTTCTGTTATGCAGCTCCGTGGTGCAATTAATGTTGCCTCCAGGATTTTGAACGATGTCTTCTATGGACGTTTTGAATTTGAAAGTTTCCCTTAGCTTCACTGTGGCACTGATGCAGGATATTGCATGTCAGTGTTTTGACAGTCTATCTACTTATTAAATTATAAACAACTGGGAAGCAGTCAGGTGTTTGTTTAAGCAAAGGCTTGCCCATCCGTTAGTCCCATTTCATTTCCGTGAAATTCAAACTAGAGATGGATGTGACAAATCTTTAATTGACTGCATTTAATTGCTTATGCTGCCTAGTCTTAATTTGATTTGGCAGACATATGGAACTTCTAAGGCATCGAAACAGCATATTGTTACTTTCTATATCTTACAATGATTTATTTTTCTCTTAATGATGCAGTCTTAGAGTGCTGTGCCCATTTCTGTATATCCAGTCTACTAAAATTTAAAGGGAACAAACTATTCAGAATGTTTTGAGATTTGGGGGAAATTGGAGGCTGATTATCAATCTCAGGGATGTTGCCCACAGTTAGCCAGATTCCTGCAAACAGAAATGTGTAATGTCTTTTGCATGGCCATGGAGCTAAATCTGAAGTAATAGTTATTCCAGCATAGATGACTTTAAGGGCAGTTAGAACCCGAGGAAAATTTCATATGATTATTTTTAGTATGGGCCAAGGATGGCGTTGATGAGTTAAATTCAGAGTTGATCTGCCAACTTCATTTCAGCCATTAAGTTCAGCCTTGTTCCCCAGTGAAATGACTGAAAGATCCATGGACTTAGGACCTAGATAATCCACGAACTGGATAATTATTCCTGGGATAATTGAGCTGCATCTCTGCCGGCAGGACAACCGATCAAATCCAGGCTTCTACTGAGATATCTTGGAAAGAAGAATTGAGCATAAAACACTTGAGAAGTGGAAAGAACTCAGTCTATTATGTATTGCAAATTAAATTTGCTAGTTCTCTTTGACTTTGTCTTGGCATATGAAGGCCTGGGAATTCTTTGTGAGTCACTAAATTGTGCCTAGGCTTACTCTAGAATATAGTTAATCAAGCTCTTGGGAGCACCGCATATTGCAATGAGAAGATAATTTTTCTATGGTCCTTTAACTGTGATTCATGTCAGGTAGAGGATCACGACTGCACACAATTTCTTAAGGTTTGGAAGGTAAGGGTATCAGACTTTCTAATAGATCTAGTAAGAGATTGTTGTTTATTGAGAAACTGCTATTGGTGGTAATGTCATATGACAAGCTAATAAACTTAACCCGTCAAGTCAACAAAACAATACTTATTAAGTGCTTGCTATGTGCCTGGCACTGAGAATGCAAATATAAACAGAAAAGAAAAACAGTCCTTTGCCTCAAGCTTACATTCTAAAGAGAGTAGACAACCTGTATGAGGAAATTGAAAAGGAGGTGAGAGAGAGAGAGGATGGTATAGAAAGGCTGGAGAGAAACAAGACAAGGCTAGCCTGGATACCTTCTTTATTTTATTTATTTATTTATTGCTTTTTGGTGAGGCAGTCAGGGTTAAGTGACTTGCCCAGGGTCACACAGCTAGTAAGTGTCAAGTGTCTGAGGCCAGATTTGAAGTCCAGTTCTCCTGACTCCAAGGCTGGAGCTCTATCCACTGTACCACCTAGC